CCATGTGTGCACGCATGAATCCTGAGTGCCTTCTGCGCTCACCCCTCCTCTCTGCAGGGCACAAAGGCACGCTTGAAAGTCACCGAGAAAGAGCTCAAGAGTCTGCAGTGGGAACATGAGGTGCTGGAGCAGCGGTTTATCCAGGTGAGCAGCCAGCAGCCCAGCGGAGACTGGTCCCAGGAGGTCCCGCTGCCTGCTCCTCCTCCAGCTCTCGAGGAAGCCATGGCATGTTCTGTGGAAGGCCCAGGTCTCACCCAGCAGATCCCTGGTAGGGAGCAGTGTGCCCACCTGGCCCTCCTGGCTCATTCTCCAGCCAGCATCCTTTCCTCTACGTACATGGATGTGCGTGTTGGGAAGAAGTCATGGAGGCCTGAGACTAAGTAAAAACAAGAGGGTTCCCCTGCTGCTCAGCGCTGAGCCTCACAAGTGTTAACAGCTTCCGTGTCTCTTCCCAGCTCCTCCTGAGTGTCCATGGAAGTCCGTGGGTGGGACTTCCTGCCTTAGACGCAGCGCCTTCCAGCTCCCAGGTCCTGCATAGTCGCTCACTCTGGTGTCACCCGTGCTCCCCACCAAGTGCAGCTGGCGCTGAGGGACGCCTGCTCGTCCTCTCGTGACAGCTCGTCTGTGCCCCGTGGGCGCCTCCTTAGGGAAGCCAGTTCCTGGTGATGGAATTACTGGGCCAGAATGTTTGCGTTCAGATTTCAGATAGCCCGCCCGGAGGGCTGTTGATTTCACCCAAGTGCCCAACGGGCCGCTTCCTGCTGCACCAGCTGTCGCGAATCCCAAACTCTGCTGCTGTGTGATTGGTGGAGAATGTCTCGTTGAATGTGCTTTCCTTAGATTTCCATCGAGCCTGAGATCCCTTCCTGCAGTGTCCGGGGTCTGCCCCGGGCAGAGCATTGCCACCTGCTCCGTTTGTTAGTGCAGGGTGCTCCATGGCCAGCGCAGGGTGTGCCATGGGCCAGAGCAGCACACCCCATGGGCCAGGTTCCTCCCACTGATGTGCAGGAGTGCCTGTGAGTTCGTCATATCGACACCCTCCAAGGCGCTCAGAGGGGCCTGCTGGCTTCGGGGAGCCTGCGGCTAGAGGGGTTTGGTGCAGAGGGCACAGGCTCCCTGGTGTGGGTGGACTCGGCGTAGATGGCACGCTGGAAGGTGTGTCTGGCCCAGGCCATAGGGGCAGGGCTTCTTGCCGGTGAGATGGCCCAGCGGAGGCGTCCCTGCAGGTGCAGCGGGAGCGGGACGAGCTCTACAGCAAGTTCACGGCGGCCATCCTGGAGGTGCAGCAGAAGACCGGCTTCAAGAACCTGCTCCTGGAGCGCAAGCTGCAGGCCCTCAGCGCTGCCATGGAGAAGAAGGAGCTGCAGCTTAACGAGGTGCTGGCAGCCTCCCACCTGGACCCTGCCACCCTGAGCCTGGTGTCCCGCAAGCTGGAGGTCAGTGCCCGATGGGCCCGGGGGCAGCTGGATGGTGCCTGTGCTCCTGCCCTGGCAGGTGGCCTGCAGGGGCTCTGACTGGGTCACTTGTCTCATGTGCAGCCTCCATCAGCCCAGGTACCCACCTCGGCCAGCCCTGGGGAGGGGCTCCCCACACTCTCTCACTCAGAACTCGGCTCGCTGCTACTGCTTCTTAGGATGGGTTCAGCTTAGCCTGTCAGGTGCTAGGTCTCAACTGTTCTGTAACTTGGGGGCCTGAGCCCCTTGTACATCTGGTGGCCGACCCAGACATAGGCCTGGGGGACAGCTGAGTCTCCTGTACTCTCAGGGAAGCCACTATGCTGTGTCCCACCCGGGCAGTTAGAGGGAGCTACATCTGGGCAGAGGCCAGAGCATTTGCTGACTTGAATCCTGTTATTCACGGCACCCTCTGTGCTGGGATTGGCCTGGGCCCAGGGGACGAGGTGGGGGCGCGGGAGGGGGCAGCAGTAGTCAAGGCAGGTGAGACCTCGGCGCCATGACCTTGGGCCAGCAGGTCAGCTGAGGCATCAGGGTAGCGATCGCTCCTGCCTCGCAGGCGGAGCCCTGCAGCACCTGCAGGTTCTCTCTCACCCAGAGGCGGGCCTTGTCCCTCTGTTCCCCGACCTGATTTTGGGGGTGAGGGGTCACAAACAGAATTGGTGGTGTGAGATAAGCGGTCTTGGTGCTGCCAGGGGAGTGTGGCTGATGCTCAGAACTCAGCCAACTGGGCCACCTGCTCCTGCCAGGCCGTGGGGCCCTGGGAGACAGATAGGTGTGCACTGGCCTCCGTGTTTTCTTCCAGAGGCCAATCCCCCTCTCTGAACGGGGTCTTCCTGGGGAAAGATCTGGGGTATCGGCGTGGGGCCTCCTCACCCTCTGGGTGCAGGTGTGTTTATTCTGAGAAGTAGCATAGGCAGTATTGAAAAAATATTATTTATTTATTTTGTGTTAATCCTCACCTGAGGATATTTTTCTATTGTTTTTAGAGAGAGTTGAAGGGAGGGGGAGAGGCAGAGAGAGAAACATCCATGTGAGAGAGACACATGGATAGGCTGCCTCCTGCACACACCCTGACCAGGTCCAGGGGTTTTACTCACAACCTGGGTGTGTGCTCCGACTGGGACCCGAACCCGAGACCCTTTGGTGTGCAGGCCAGTGCTCCAGCCAGTGAGTCCCATCAGCAGTTCAGGTGACACGAGCCCCTTTGGCTCACACCCCGAGGACGAACCTGTCAGGTCACCGTGTCTGTACGTGAAGCATTGCAGCCACTCCTCCCGCCCAGCTGCCCTGCGGCCTGCAGCTGGCACTTGGTGCTGCCATCTGGGTGGGAGAGATTCGAAGCTGTCAGCTGTGTCCCTGAGTTTGGGACTGGGGAGGACTGTGGAAGGTTCTGGGGAGGATATACTGGATATGCAATTACACAGGGACCTGCAGTGAAGGCTGAGCAGGATGGACTTGTCACAACTGCGGAGGGGCTGGGAAGGCCAAGGCGAGGTCCTTCCTGCATCCTGGCTCAGTGGCCACAGTGCTGTGGGACCGAGTCACCAGGACAGTGTGCGTGGGGGTCTGGGGTATTGCAAGCACAGAGGAGGGCTTGTCTGTAGGCAGCACTGTGGCCCTGGGCCTGGGTCTCCTCTCTGACTTTGTGCCTCTGTCCCTGAGGGTCACCAGTGTGAGTAGGGGCACTGCAGCTACACCAGGCCAGGGTGGGCGCGGGCGAGCTCTCGGCTTTCCTGGTCGGACCACCAGGCCTGCGCCTCTCACTTCTCAGCACCCATCTCTGTGCAGAGGCAGGCGCCGTCTCCCTCTCTCCTGGGGGACCTTTCCACACGGCCTGCTCCCCGTGTGGTCACACGTGGATGGGGCCAGGCCACTGTTTCCTGGACATCCAGGGTCACTGTGAGAGCCCCAGATGCATACCCACGGCTGCTCAGTCTGTCCCATTCCAAAGACCGGTCTGCAGCTCCCATCTGCATTTCTCTCCTCAGGATGTTCTGGAATCGAAGAACAGCACCATCAAGGACCTCCAGTACGAGCTGGCCCGGGTCTGCAAGGTAGGAGGGGCCCCGCCTGCTTAGTGCACGCCCTCACCTGGGACCCTGAGATTCCTGCCGTCGCCTGCTCATTGGTGGCTTAGGGCAGCCCTGGCTGCCCGTGTTCCTCCAGGGCCAGCCTGGAGCGCTCTGGGAAAGGAGGGCTGGTCTCTTCCCGCCTCCCGGTCTGACCTGGCTGCCGTGGCGATGGGAGTCTGCACCTCCAAGCAGGGAGCAGTTCCAGGTCTAACCTCTCAGGCTCCTTTGTGAGTCTGAGGAAAGCTGCCTGCCATTTCTGTACCAAAAACGCACATTGAAGGCTCTTTGCTCCCCAATCCCCCCATTGTCTGTCCCATGAGTCCCAGTGGCCTGGGCCCTGCTCCCAGCACAGCCCCCCCCCCCCCCCCGGCATTCCCCATGCTGTCTGGGCTTTGCCTGTGGTGATGCAGACACATAGCTGCCTGTGCACATGTTTACCAACGCAGCCACCTCTCAGGACTCAGACGTGCCCGTGGTTCTGTTTTCTGTGCTTCTGATCCATGCGAGCCCGGGCTGTGCAGCCTCAGATGGAGGCGTCTGTGGTGCTGGGCCTTCCCTTCCCCTCCCAGCCGGAACCTTCCCTGGATGCCCAGCCCCTGGATACGTGTGCACCCAGAACTGGTGCCAGCTGCTGGCCGTGCAGCTATTGGAGCATCTGCACAAGCTGTCAGGAGGCCTGTTCCCCTCAAATGGCGAGAGCCAGGCCCAGCCCCCACTTCTCTCTGGATCTCCACTCAGTCCTCCCTCTCACTCTTGACCCAAGTCCCAGCACCAAGTGTAAAGATGTGAGGATGATGTGCCCTCTGGAGGTTTTTTTCTGAGTCAACCGACGCTCCAGGCGCTGCTCAGGCATCGCCTCTTCAGACCCTCCAGCCCCCGACGACGACGACGTTTACCCTTTTAAAGACGCCTCTCCCAGAGGGACAGAGCCATGTCCCTGGACCTGGCAGCACTGTTGGCCATACTGAGCTCTTCTGGGACGTGGGGGTCCCGTGTTCCCCATCAGCCGTCTTTGTGATCCCTCCTTCCCGCCCTCCACAGAGCTGAGTGTGCTAGGGAGGGCACTGCCCTGCCCGGGGGAGCCCTCCCACACGCACTGTCTCCACAGGCCCATGGCGACCTGCTGCGCACCTACGAGGCGAAGCTCCTGGCCTTCGGGATCCCTCTGGACAACGTGGGCTTCAAGCCCCTGGAGACGGCCATGATTGGGCAGGCCCTGGGCCAGGGCCCTGCGGGGCTAGTGAGCACCCCAACATAGCCCCCCGGGACTTCTCCCTGCACGACACCCCCTTTACACTGCGGCAGCAGGTGTGTTTTATTGTTGGGTCAGCGAATGAAGGCTTTCACGTTTGCCGCGTGTCCTGGTGCACGACTGTGGCCAGTCTTCCCCGCCCAGCTGCCCGCCTCCCCCCCATACACACACCTCCTGCCGGGCAGCACAGCACAGCTGTGCCCAGTGACCGCAGCAGCCTGCAGGTGCCACAGACTTTATTGGTGCCCAAGTCACAGCGCCACTAGGACTTGGGGTCCAGATCCCCCCCCCGGGAAGCAGGACCTGAGGCCCCATGAGGAGCAGGGAGCCTCTGTGGATGGCTGCGTAGGCTCTCGGACCAGCGGGCGGTCAGCTCCCTCGGTAGGTGGTGTAGGACCATGGGCTCAGCAGCAGGGGGACGTGGAACTTGTGGGTCTCGTTTGTGATGGTGAAAACGACCTGAGAACAGAAGCAGCAGGAGGGAGCACTGTCCCCGTGCTCCCCTGGAGAAGCCGGACTGCGGCCTGAGGGCTGGTTCCCAGGGAGCCCCAGAGCGGCCAGCGCCTGCTGACTGGAAACGGGCTGTGGACAAGGCTGAATCCGCTCTAGAGGGAGCTCTTGGCTTGAGGGCCTGCCAGGCTTCCCAAGGTGCCCACCCTGAAACAGGTCAGGCGAAGGGGGGGCAGCAAGGTGAGGCCCAGTGAGTTGGACGGGACTTGTTCAACACCCGTGTCCACAGGGGCTGAGTCACCCTCCACCCTGCCCCTCAGCCTGACCCGGGGACGGGAGGGACACCTTTCTCCTGGGAGCTCAAAGCAGGTGAACTCAGTGCCTGCCAGTGCCCTGGGAGAGGGGGAGGGGCACTGCCCTGGGAGAGGGGGAGGGGCACTGCCCTGGGAGAGGGGGAGGGGTCAGTGCCCTGGGAGAGGATGACGGGTCATTGCCCTGGGAGAGGGGGAGGGGTCAGTGCCCTGGGAGAGGGGGAGGGGTCAGTGCCCTGGGAGAGGGGGAGGGGTCAGTGCCCTGGGAGAGGGGGAGGGGTCAGTGCCCTGGGAGAGGGGGAGGGGTCAGTGCCCTGGGAGAGGATGAGGGGTCAGTGCCCTGGGAGAGGGGGAGGGGTCAGTGCCCTGGGAGAGGGGGAGAGGTCAGTGCCCTGGGAGAGGGGGAGGGGTCAGTGCCCTGGGAGAGGGGGAGGGGTCAGTGCCCTGGGAGATGAGGAGGGGTCAGTGCCCTGGGAGAGGGGGAGGGGCACTGCCCTGGGAGAGGGGGAGGGGCACTGCCCTGGGAGAGGGGGGAGGGGACACTGCTCTGGGAGAGGGGGAGGGGACACTGCTCTGGGAGAGGGTGAGGGGCACTGCCCTGGGAGAGGGGGAGGGGCACTGCCCTGGGAGAGGGGGAGGGGCACTGCCCTGGGGGAGGGGCACTGCCCTCCGCAGGACCTTGGAGTCAGTGAATCACAGCCTCCACTCCATGCCAGCCTGTGCCCTCACCTCCACATAAGGGTAGAAGCTGTCCTGCCCCCTTTTCTTCCAGTAACTCTCTGTGTCGAAGGTCAGCTTGTAGGTGCCCGCCTTCATCTGGCCTGGCAGCAGGAGCCCAGGGCAGCGGCCATCGGGGTCGGTGTAGCTGTTGGGGAGAGGGACGAGGTGCACCCCTGCCTGGCTCTCGGGATCTCCACAACTCGCCGCCTCACACACCCTGCAGCCTGGCTCGGGAGAGACTAGTGCCTGTGGTTAAGGAGCAGCTGTTGTCCAGCACAGAGAAACAGGAGAGGGAAACCTCCCACCATCTTCCCCAGGAGCAATCATCACTCTATTTGACCTGTATTTTTCCATGTACTCTCTATCAGTATGCTTATTTATAAAATGAGAAGGCAAGGTGGATGACACTGTTCCTATTGTTTGTAACCTGGACGAGACGTGCAGTACATGGTGTGTGGCTTTCGGGGTCCGTTCCTGTTCCAGGTGGCCCAGTGCCCCGTGACTCTGCTGTGCAGGCTGATGAGCTGGCACTGTGGTCAGAGAGCACCGCTCATCTGCACTCGGGGAGTTGGGAACCGGTCCCTGTGGCCCCCAGGGGACTCCATGTGCTCTTCCAAGACCACAGCTGGCCCTCAGGTGGGCCCTGGGCCCGCAGCCTTTGTGAGGCACGGATCAGGGAGGGACACGCTCCACACCCTCAGGCCCTGAACTTTTGGGGCCACCAAGTGCCAATATGCCAGCCTGGGCCTCCCAGCAGAGCTGAGTGCCGGGCAGCAGCCAGGGCCACGAGAGCACAGCTGCCAGGCTGGTGCGGGTTGTCCCTGCTTCTGTTTAAGGGTCACTAGGTGCAGTGAGAATAAAGGAAGAGAAAGTGCTGTGTGGTGAGGGGAAGCCTTCACTGGCCTAGCCTGAACCCTGACCCCTTACCCCTGCCCCCTGCCGGGAGAGGCTTCAGGAGCTGGCAGGGGACGGGGGCCCTGTGCTGAGGGAAGGGCTCTGGACGCAGCGCTACCCCAAAACCTACCTTCTTCTCAGTTCTGTCCACTGCTGGCCATGGTCCTCGAGCCTCGACAGACAGAGGCAGAGGCCTTGGGCTGGGAGCCCGGAGGCAGTGTCCAGCACGTGTGTGGTCAGCGGGCTGCGGACTGGCTCCATGCCTCTGCCCTGGGCCAGGAGAGAGGGACAGACAAGCCCTGTGTCCACACCAGCCCCAAGGAGGCAACACTTAGAGCAAACAGCCCTGTGGGATGCAGAGTCCCAGGATGTCCCTGAGACGGATGACCGAGGCTGTGGTGTGCACACACTGAGGTGCAGGTTGTCAGCTATGCTGATCTCTTCCCCACCATCCCCACTGGGACTCTCCCCTCCCCTCCCTCCACCATCGCTTGGTGCCGCCCTGCTGGTCAGTGCTGGTGCGAAGCCAGGCGCTCCCAGTTCTCCCAGTTCTCCCAGCTCAGCTTCCAGTCCGGAGCCCAGGCCAATGGGACGGGACCGCCCTACCTCCCTGAGCCCAGGCGGACGGAACGGAACTGCCCTACCTCCCGGGAGCCCAGACCCGCGGGACGGAGCCCAGGCCGATGGGACAGAACGGGACCGCCCTACCTCCCGGGAGCCCAGGTGCCGCTGGATTGCACGCAGCCGTGGGGTAGACGCCGAGCTCATGCCCAGTAGCTGGGAACGGCCGAGCTGAGGTCACTCCTCCCGCCTCCGCCTTAGGGCGCCTCCCCGACCGCCCGTCCTGCCGTCACCTCCCTGGCCCGGACCGAGTGTCTGACCCAATGGGGTGGTTTGTGGGTGGAGGTACCTCTCGGTGCCACCAGTACGGCCCCAGGGACCGCGCTCGGGAGGGGCCCAGGCGGGCCAGTGGGGCGCACGGACCTGTGGCTGCAGAGGCAACTCCCACCGGAAGTGAAATCGAGGGGACCGTCTGGGATGGGCGGCGATCAGGGAACCGAACGGGAGGGGCGGGACGGGGCGGGGCGGGAGGCGGGTGGAAGCGGGAGGGTGGTTCTTCCCAGATCCACTGTGGCCTCTAGCTGGGCCTGGAGGTGGCTCACGAGCCCGACCCCCATCAGGAGTCCCAGAAAAAACGTGGATTTTTTACCTTCTGGGACAGTCAGCATAAATATATATATTTATGGACTTCAGAGAGGAAGGGAGAAGGAGAGGGAGATAGAAACATCCATGATGAGAGGGAATAATGGAGTACCTGCCTCCTGCATGTCCCACACTGCGGAGCTGGCCCACAACCCGGGCTTGTGCCCCCATGGGGAATCGAACCTGGGACCCTTCAATCCAAGGGCCGACGCTCTATCCATTGAGCAACACGGGTTAAGGCAGGACAGTATTTTGATGGAAGCCTCTCAAAGGTCATGTAAGGTGTTCAACTCTGTCCTAACAGGCCCTGTGACGATGCCTCAGTTTCCCTATCTGTGAAAAGGGGGTGTTAATGACTCCTGGTTGTTACGGTTCCACAGAAGAAGACAGATGAGCTTGTGCTCTTGTCCCACTGTGGCCGACTCTGGTGTCCTGGGGCCCCTCTGGCCTCTTCTGTCTCCCTCCAGGCCCACTCTGCCTCCCTCCACCTCCCAACCCCTTCTCCTGCCCCAGTTCCACACACTAATTGGCTGCAGAAATAAGGAGAGTTGCATGGTGTATCTATTGCTGTGTGGGGTGTTGCTCTGGACACAGGAACTGTTTTTTCTTACCAAGGTGTATTTTCTAATAATTCAGTAGTGAGCATGGACTATCTGTAGGTTTAGAATCAGGCCCCTTCAAGGTAGGGATGATGACTCTTGTATCAAAGGTTGAAAGTGAGCTGTTTATAACTCTAAGGTGATTAGGAAATATCTATTTGAAATGTGCACACACATGACATTTGGCAGGGCTTATGTTTGCAGCAGATAACCCCAAAGGGATGCTCCTTACACAGTTTCGGCAAACGCATGTGGGTACGAGAGACTAGAAACAGCCAGAATGTCCTCACTCTGCACAGATAAGGAGTTCTGTCACACCCCTGTATACTCTGTTGTTCTCTGAGAAGAATTAGGTCCATTGTAAGACAGGTCTCCACAAGCATCACACTGGGTAGGAATGGAGGCAGTCATTTACAGCTTTGAGCTGTAAATCTCTGGTTACATAAGCTAGCTTGTTCAATGCTCTAAAAGATCAATGGAAAAATTACCCCCGGTAAGGATTAACAACAAACAAAAAACAAGAAGTCTCAGTGAGACTTCGTGGGGGTGAGTCGGAGAGGAGGATGGCGTTGTAACCTGCCAATCAATGCGTCTAGGCTGCCTGTCACTGCGTTAGCCAATTCAGCAGAGACAGGGTTGAGTCACCTAGGAGCACTTCTGATACTGCCATCAGCATGGGAGAGCAGCAGGTCATTCGCAAGAATCTGTTCCGCACCCCGTAGCCAGCTGTTTATATAGGGCAGGGCAAGGGTTATAGCAGGCCTGGGGAAGTAGGCTCTGCGGGCTGGGGTGGGACTCCATCGTTTGGGCAGCAATGTTGTTAGTCTTTCCGTGATAATTTAGGAGTTAGTGCCTGTGAACATGGATAGTGAGAGCCCTACATCATCTCAGACATGTCATTGATAAGGTCCATGGTGACTTCTCTGATCATATTTCAGCAGCAGCAAAATGAGTCTCCCCTTCTAGGATCTCAAAATTCCAATAATGTTTCCTATTTTTTCAAGTTACTTCTGTGACATCAGGTTATTTTTCTGAGTACCTTTTTTCTCATAGTAAATAAATTGTAAACACATTTTTTTCCTGAACATAAGATTCTGGTGTTGAAACACATTGTTTTAAAAGGTGTTCTTGTAACTGAAAGGGTTCTGCTCGATCTCTGTTTCTGTCTCTTTCTGAATGAAAGATCAGAAAAACCTGTAGAAATGTGCTAAGATTAAGCATCCCTTATTTTGTGATTTATTTTAATGTAAACATAGAGCAGACAGTTGTTTTATAGGATAAATACTTATATTTTCTTTCAAGTAGGTAACTGATTATACTGTACACATTTATGGTTCTATATATGATACTTATTACTCCAGCCCTCAAAATACTAGTTCAGCCAATTCCTGCCCAAAAATAATCCTCTTCTGCCCTCCTGTGGCCATTTAAGGAATAACACCGTGTTTCTGTCCATGGTGCTGACATTTCAGCTAAAGCCCTGTGAACACGACTAAAAATTCTACGCAGAAAAAGAAGAAAAACAAATCATCAAGGCTGTCCATAGCGGCAACCATTCCTTCCCTCATTTTTCGAAGTCACGGCTCTGAGTCTTGACCTGTTCCCACCCCATCCATGCAAAGGGAGGCCCCGGAGACTGCTGCATGGAGGTTCCCTTTAAGGTGACCCACATTCTGCCTAATGCTCCGTGGTGCGTCTTTTAACTAGAGAGCAGTGAGTGAGTGTATGTCTGGCAAGTTGTGCTCTAACCAGTTAGCCACACCATCTATGGTTTCTATTAAATTCATATAAATTGGAGGGGTGGTCAAGGGTCAGAGGTCAAAGCTGGGGCTCAGATTAGGGCTGGGGTTAGAGTTAGGGTTTTTGGGTGAGGGTGAGCATGATGGGCCAGGGACTGGGTCATGGCCAGGGTCAGAGGTGGAAAAGGTGAATTAGCTTGGAAATGGAAAATTTTAATGTATCTCAGCATCATCCAAATTTGTTGTCCGTTGCAAGATTTTAGTAAATTCCAATATGGCTTCTTACTTTTTCAAGTTATTATAGTGACATTAGGTTATTAAAATTGAATGCTTTCTTCTCCTAGTAAATTAGCTGTAAACTCATTTTTTTCTGAATAAAAGCTTATAGTTAATACTTTGCTTTTGAAACATATTTGTTTTGAAACCTGTTCTTGTAATTCAAAGGGTTCTGCTCAATAACCAAACTGTCTCTTTCAGAATGAAACGTGGTAAGACCAAGCATCATTTATTTTGTTATTTTTTAGAATGTAATCATAGAGCATAATTATACACTGGTTTTGTTGGAGAAATGCTTATAGTTTTTTCTTCTGATTATACTGTACATGTCTATGGACCTATATATTTATTATGCTAGCCCTTAAGGGACTTTGTCAATTTCTGCACAAAAATAATCCTCTGGTGCCCTCCTCTGGCCATTCAAGGAATAACACCCTGTCCCTCTGTCCATGGTGCTGCAATTCCAGGTCAAGCCTCCTGAACATGAACAAAATTTCTGCCCAGAAAAAACACCCTTAGGAAATCAATGTTGCTGTCCAGGGCAGCAATCATTATATATTCACGGCTCTGTGTTCTTAAATATTCCCACCCCAGCTCCCCAAAGGGAGGCCCCCGTAGACTGCTGCACTGAGGTTCCCCTTGCAGTGACCCACCCAGCCTGCCTACTATGTTCCCTTGGTGCTGTTGTTAACTACAGTGGTGAGTGAGTGTCTGGCAAGCAAATGCTCTAACCAGTGAGCAACACCAGCTACGAACTGCATGCACTTTTGTTGTGTTGATAATCTGAATTTATTTTTACCTCTAATTGACATACAGTAATACATTATTTCCCATTGTACAACAGTGATTGAACATTCACATCCCTCACCTAGTGATTATCCCATTATTCTAGCTCACATCTGTCTCTGTTTCCTGTGCTGCAGTTACACCTCCATGCCTATTTCCTGAGAGTTGTGATGGACTTTTCCAGCCCCAGTGGGGACAACCCAGGGCCGGTGTTGTTCAAGGTGGATAGTGAGCAAGATGGTGGCAGAAGAGCAGCTGTAGGATAATGTGTTTCAGAGGATGGTGGGGTTGTGTGGTGGAGCAGCGTGTGTGATTGCAACACTTCAGTGACTTAGGCTAAAGGAGCAGTGGCTGTCTGTAGGTGATTGATGTAAGGAGATGAGACTCAAAGTGTTCTGCAGCTGCTATCACAAGACAGGTCCTTCCATAAGTTCCAGGGAGAACATGCAAGCCTTTTCTATCTCCCTAGATATCCCACAAGTCCCAGTGTGATTACAGAGGCCCTTATAAGGAGGCTGCAGTAGGGTCAGAAGTGGACAGATAGGTGAGGCTGTGCTGCTGGCTGTGGACGACGGAGGCCAAAGGAGAGGCATGTCTTGGGGGAGGCTGCAGTGTCATTGTGGGCTTGTCCTCCCTGCGGTTGTGGATGCCATGCATCATGTCCTGCAGGTTCTGGTGGAACATGCGGTTGATATGCCCTTGACCCTCTCGAGTGCTCTAAGGACGGCGGCTTGCGTGCCGGAGACCCGGGAAGCCCCATGCCAGATGGTGTGCAGGGATGGGGGGCCGCCTTTGCTCCTTGGTGAGCAGTGTTCTGCCATCTGCCACTGCGGGGCATGCAACCAGGCCAGTCCCTTGGCAAGATCCACTGGGCAGGCTGCGCCCCATTCCCTTTCCCCTCACGTTCCCTCTACTCACTTTTAAAAATATAAATTTGAGGGCATTCAAGGGCCAGAGGCCAAGGCTGGGGCTGTGGCTAGGGCTGGAGTTGATGTTAGGGTTTCAGGGTGATGAGTCAGGGTCAGAGTCGCGCTCAGGGTCTGGGTCAGAAGTGGAAAAGGCAAATTGTAATTGGAAAGAGAATTTTCTTTGCAAAATATGACTTTACTTTGCTGAAGATGAAATTGAAGGGTAAAAGGTGAATTTGTGTTGCAAAATGTGAATTACTCTGTATTTGAGAATCATCCAAATGAGTCACTCTTTCCAGGATCCTAGTCAATTCTAACATTGCTCCATATTTTTTCAAATTACTTCTGTGACATTAGAGTTATTATTACTGAGCACTGTTTTTTAAATGTTAATAAATCAGTTGTAAAAAAGTATTTTTCTGATGAAAATATTCTAGTTAATAGTTCGGTGTTGTAGCACAGTCATTTTGAACCGTGTTCTGGTAACTTAAGGGCTTCTGCTTGATACCTGTGCCTGTTTATTTCATAAGGAAAGATAAAATAATTTTGTAG